CGAGTAGTAAAAAATACGATACTCGCGGAGCGTACGGCATTATTTGAAAAAGTAAAACAAAAAAATCGTCAAAAGTTGCGGGCTGTGCTGTACTTGATTGTACAGTCTTGGCATTTTCTCCCTTTGACGGATCGGGACTCCACGTCATTACCATGACTTTCAAAGAACTTTCTCACAGCCCACTCATCTCACTCCACGTGTAGCAATCTTCCGCCGTCCGATTTGGTCCAAAACTTTTTCGCAGGGAGGCGTTATCCTCTGTGCTCCTCCTTAGCGTCCGCCGCGTGGACCTCGGTCGTCATTGATTACGTAAGAGAGAGAAAGAGAGAGCAACGGGATTTTTTCGCTACAAGTCACGTGGGGCCCACTGGATGGGATGACGTGTTGCATAGCGGTTTGACTGTCGTTTTCGAGCTGTCACCTTATCGCTAAGGGGGCGGAGCGGAGTTTAGATTCTTGTTGACGTCAGGCTTTGCGTTGGGATTACGTCATCGTTATTTTATTTTTTTACTCTTTCGATTTTATTAAGAAAAGGAAATTCTTCTTTTTCGTCAGTAAAAGGTTTCTTTTCTGAAAAAGAAAAAAAAAATCAATTTCTTGCGAATGTATATATATAAACAAAATCTTTTGAGTTAACATTTTTACTAAATATTTGATCATAATGGTTCAACTATCTATTCATTTATATTCCTTAATTCAAATAAACTATTTAACGCTCCTTTCTTATTTTTTTGTTATCGTTTTTGTTTATCATTAATTTTAATGAATAAAATGTAACTACATTTGATAATTATTTTTACATTTTTTTCTTTTTCTTTACTTATTAAAAAAGTAAATTTTTATATAAAAAGAAAATTTTTAATTTATCTTATATTTATTTTTTTAATATTTATTATGCATTTTATAAGTCAAAATAATAAATAATACTTTTATTTGTGTTTTGAAAAAAAAAATTGAAAAAGAAAATAATAAATAAAAAATTTAATTTTGTTGTTGGGGGAGTGTAGGGATGAAATTAAGTCATACAAAACACAAATTAGATGGATAGAGCTCTCAAGAACTACACCCTCCAAATAAGACCAAGTGGCGACCGACTAGCCCGTGGGCCGACCCACCCACGAGCTAGGCTAGTTGGCCTTGGGCCATGACTCACTGTAAACCGACCAGCTAAAGGATGCCCCCCAAATTTAAAGATTCTCTCGGCCATCGATGAGCAAAGCTGTCAAAATTTGAAACCCCGAGATCTAAGGGAGTTCAAGAAGGAAAATATATTTCGATCCTAAAAATCTCACATCTTGGTACTTGACACAAACCCGATTTCACTTAAGCGTCAGAGTATGTGTGGCAAGCACCACAACGGTGTGTAATATTTTTGTGTTACAAGTTTCGTCGAATCTCTTTTATTCTAGAAGGTTGATGTGAATTTAGTAATTTTATAAGCCAAATTATCGCATCAAAGGTAAAAGTTAACGAAAAACCAAAATAATTATCATCTTATATTTTAAAAAAATTTGAAACAAATAAACGAAACCTTACCCTTCTTACTTTTGTCTGTCTTTTTTTTTTTTTTTTTGAAGTGTAATAATTAAATCCCAAAAATAGAAACAGAGTATATGAAGACCAAAATGTTAGTAGATTCGTAGGATTTGTGTTCAATGTGTGCAATGCATGGGCTGCAAAATAAAGACTTCAATTCAACTCTTAATCATTTAGTCTCAAAAGAGAGGTAATTTTATATTTATGATTCTACACCGATAGATATTTTGAAAATACAACAAATAAAAATTGAAAGTATAAGAATCAAAATAAACCAAAATTAAAATATATGACCAGAATAATATTGAAAAAAAAAAGTTCAAAAAGAAAAAGAAAAAGATACATAAGCATCCTTACAACTATAGGTGTTTTGGACGGTAGCATACAATTTTTCTATAGTTGACTTTGACAACGAGATGTGATGGGAAGATTTTGATTAGTCTAAATGTGTCATAACTCATAAGTGACAGAAATGTGTTTGTTGAGAAGGTTTACCCTAATGTCTATATGATTTTGAATGCATCTTTTGACTACTAAAATCAATAATTGTTTCAAAAACAAAGAAGACTTAATATGCACATTCTAAAATGTAGCACAAACTTCAAACTATAGAGTTCGGATAATTTTAATCACCATTTATCATCCCTAAAACTATATTCATATATTTTCCCGACGAGTTCTATTTTTGTAATTGATATCTTAAACATTGTACGAACGTTTACAGATCCATAATAAATATAGTGAACCTTATTACCAAGTTACCAAACTAAATTCTCTAATTGTAAAGTTTAGGGTACTAGCCTTAATGTTAAAACTGTCTTTAAATTATGGATTTATCTCTCTCTATCAAAAGAAAAGTACAGCTAGTTCTTGTAAAAACATTTTAGAACATAAACTTCAAAGTTTTTTCTTTCTTCGACTTTCTTGTAGAGTTGTTAGGACATTTGTACTTTTGTTTCCGTGTTTTTTTTCCAAAGATAAATTTGTAAAGTTGATTTCATTTGAACAAACTAGATGTAGATTGTTTGTTACTTCAACCTAACCATGCTCTCTATATATATAGACACACACGCGCTCACGCATGGGATAACTGGTGCACATGAGGTGTGTGCGAAGGGGGCTGGTGGCTCTAGGCGCATGTAGGAGGGCGTGGTAGGCATAGATTTCGATAGATGACCTCCAACAATTTAAGTTTTGCGTGGCAAATGTTGAACGAAAGGGGAACTGGTGGCCATGGATGCACTCGCAGGGGAGTAGGGCACTTGCACGCACTCAGTCAAGGAGGCTGGTGGCTGTGAGCGTGCGCGCAGGGGGCATCCACCTCAAGCCCTTCTTTCAAACGGGGAAGCGATCACAAGAGACCTCATCTCCCTCAAAGCAAGAAAGTCACGACGGTGCAAGCTAGTCGTTTCTCATCATTGAAAGGCAACCATCGAAACAACCATGTGCCATCATCGCCAAAGCAACCCACCTCAACTATACAGCTCGCAAGCGACACCCCCATCTAGAAGTCGTATATATATATTAAAAAGTATCTAATTTGATTTTTGTTTATAAAATTTTAGAAATAATATCTTAAGAGGCTATTTTTAATTCTTAATTTCATAAATGTCTTTAGTTTTCTAAATTTACACTTTTAGATTTTTTCATATAGGATTTTATTCTAATACCGTTTCTATCTGCTTTTTATTTTATTATAATTTTAAAATTTAAAAGATTTGAGTCCTTAATTTATTATTATATTCATTTAATTATTGTGGGTCYCGTTCAATTATTTAACCTAAATTCCTCAAAACTCTCCTTCAAAAATGATTTTATTCTCTCACCAATTAAAAACTTCCAAATTTGTGAAATTTGAATTAATCAAATCGTTTGCTGCGTCTGCTTCCTTCTCCAACCTTGATTGTTTTCCCGGCGTCTTCCCTTTTTTCGTGCATACCTTCATCAACGTCGACAGCATTGAAGTGCATATCGTCTGTGTACTTCTTCAACGTCGCAGAATAGACTTTCCGTCGACCTCATTCCACGTTTCCGACACCGTGCAGCGTGCTTCTGTCAACGAAGTATTTGTTCCTTCAATTTTCGTCGTCGAATAAACTTTCCGTCGACGTCTTTGACGTTTCCGACGCCATTCAGCGCATTCCTCGTCTCCTGTCCCCTTCTGTTTTTACCATTGATACTTATTAGTCTTCCGTTAAGATTGGTATATATGGGGATATATTTTATGTATGTGTACAGAAAATGGAAGTTCTAAACGTCTCACAGTCTTAGTATTCCTGATTATATTCGTATATATGGGTATATATTGTATATGTGAATATATCTTATATGTGTATACAAATATCTTATAGTTCTGTAGAAAGGGTTCTCCATACCATTTGTAATTATTAATCTTCCGATCGGTATATATGGGGATATATTTTGTTTATATGTCTAGAAAATTGAAGTTCTAAATGTCTCATATTCTTAGTATTCCTGATTATATTCGTATATATAGGTATATATTGTATATGTATATATATCTTATATGTGATATCTTATAGTTGTATATAAGATATAAACGCATATATCCTATACTAATATAGAAATGGTCATTCAAAATTGAAGTTTTAAACGTCTCGAAAAAAAGTTCTTGATGATTTTTGGATGGAATTTGGAGATATTTTGGGAGGTTATGATTTCAATTTTGGGGAATTTAGGATTTTGTTTTTAATGTTTTGGTGTTTTAATTTGTTTTGGAAAGTATCATTAATCTAAAATTATGAGATCTAAATTATAACCTTCCAATTAATCAATTTTGCATATTAAAATGAATTTAAAATTAATTTGTAAATACAAGAGGCTATTTAAGTAGGCTATTTAAGTAATTTATAGAGTTGATACATGACAAATGTATTTAGGTAATTAGTCTTTTTATGTAATTAGGATCTTTAAATAGATGTACTAATCCCAAATAACTAATTTAATTCATATTTACAAAAAATTTAATACAAAATTATTATAGCTACATTTCAATTTGAAAGAACTTAATGAGTCTAAAGTGTTAGCTAAAATTCTGATCGAAAAAAATGAGATAAAAGATCACTTTTTAAAAGTATGAGGATCAAAATAATCGTTTTGAAATAATATGAACCAGCATATACAAGTTCAATAAGTTTGCACTTGCAATAGCCTTTACAAGCCCATGAGCTATAAAGCTGGGCAACCAAGCCCAACATTGATGCCAACAAGCACTCTTATATTTGTTAGGCAAAAAAAAAGGGTTTTGGCATCTTTTTCCTGCTTTCACCTTCAATTTGAAGGGATGAATTCACTAACAATTCTCACATCCATGTCTTTAAACTACACAATGAAGAAAGAAATAGATAAAACTTCAATTAGATGAAACACGATATATAATATCTATGTATGTATGTACACATGCAGCTCAAATATAATATTAAAAACCGACACGAAAAATGTGATAGAGAAAATAAAAGATCAACATTAAAAAGGTCACTCTTTCAGCAAAAAAGTCTACAAAATCATAACTAACTTTCAACCTTAATCTCATACACAAAAACTGCATTCTCTCTTTCCTGTTCCAAAAAAAAAAAAAACATAGCATTTCTCAAGTTACTGAGATTAAGGAACTAATATTTCTTCAAAATGTTATTTCAGCTATTTCTAAATAACATATAATGCAAGAGATGATCAATTATTAATATAAAATGACCAAAAATGCTTATTGAACTAAACCCATAAACCCTTTGCATGGGCTCGCCATGCACTTGTATGGTCTAGTCGGAAGATCAAGTTGGTGACCTAATGATAGAGGAGCCATCAACCCAAGCCCCCGCGAACAGCAGTTGTCGCTAAACGGTCCTACGAGATGTCTACGGTACCTGGGTTTTTAATCAGATACAATTTGATAAAAGTAGTAGAGTCATACCCAACACCATAAAGAAACAAGCTTTTACCTATCTTGTAATGATCTCCCTGTGAGCTTTAAAGGAGAGGATGACATTCCATGCCAAGGCAAGGACATTAGCTGCAAGGACCTGATATTTGTTTCCAAATACGACATTTTTAAAAACCGTTTAATTCAATAATATATTATAGCAAATCTCTACGGAAATAGTTACATTATAATGATATTCACGCAAAAAATAACGGAGTATCCAAACCAACTTGTGAGCATCTCAACTAATCTCACAGAATAACCACCTAAACGTCTAAGATATTAAATAATCGCTTTCCAATTAAGAGGAGTTACTCTGTCATTGGGTATAGGATCATATTGAACTACGTGGTCCACTTCTTTTCCTTTTTCTTTTCCTACATATCTTTTACAATTTTTTTAACAAGGGTTGTAAAATGAAACACTGAATGATAATATGAAGGGATGGCCAAATCCACCAAAGAGAAAAATCCAGTGAACATGGACATTAAAATACTTCCATCAATCAAACCAGTGTCGTGAAACTCATCAAATATTTAACATCTCTAAGTAGCCACCATGTTTTGAATCCAAGACCAAGATGACATTACAGTTCACATTGTGCTATTTTTCCCATTGGTTGGCTCGTGGCATTTAAATTAGCAAGATAATTTCTAGTAGACTGGCAGTCTACTATTGTGATTCATTTAGAGAAAATAGCATCATCACATTTCTAGTGCTCTAAGTAAGACAGACTATTTCGATATGTTTTGTCTGTATGCTATTTGGCTCACACTCTTGTTGTAACAAATGAGAATTTCTGTCGTCACAAATGAGATAGTAGGCACTGAATGATACATAAGCAAGGAATTTTTGGTCCTTTACTGATCCGATCTTTTTATTCCTTATTTATGAGAACATAAATCACTACTTGAAATATAAACTCAATCAAACAGAATAAAAACTGGAGAGAACTTAAACAAGACATACCTGGAACTGCTGCGGAACAAATCTAAAGTTGAAAAACTGGAAAGGTATCCATAGTTTCCAGTTAGCCACAACAGAAGAAAACCACTCCTATGAAGCAAAAAAGGTTCAAAAAAGGAATATTAGATAATTATACTATGAAGTTTGAGGCTGAAAAGCATATCAAATAACAGATTGCTTCTGTTGTTGGAGCGGAATATGTTCAAATGGCACCTGTTGAAGCTTAGGAATAACATGTGATGGCCGCCCTTCGAGTGTTACTAATCCGGTTAGGAAGGCTCCAAGGAATACCGGAGTAAAAATGAACTGCAATTGTTTGTTTACATTACATTCAGAAACAGGATACTTCAGGAAAAGTACTTATTAAGAATATCTAATAGCTCTTTCAATAATACCTGATCAAGAAGGAGGCGCAAGAATGCACCTGAAGCTCCTGGCATGGTCACCAATTTACTTAGATACAAGTACCTACATGTATTCATCTATTAAAAAAGTATCTAACAAAGTTGCTTATTAAGAAAAAAGAGTATCTAACAATATTCGAGAAGATGGAAATAGTTTTAAAAAGGACTACAAATATCAATTCAAAAACACTGAGGCCCAGTTTGATAATGATTTTGGTTATAGTATTCTTCATTTACAAATTGTGTACTGGTTTCCTCTCAATTTTTTTGGTTTCCCACAATTTTTTAGAGACACATTTAAATTCTCAACTAAATTTTCAAAAGAAAAAAACCTAAGTTTTTAAAATCAATTTTGTAGTTTTCAAAAATTGACTTAAATTTTAAAAACGTTTTAAAAAAGTCGAAAACAAAATAGAGCATATAGGTGGAATTAACGTATAAGCTAATTTTTCAAAAACAAAATGGTTATCAAACAAGATCTAAGAATTTTATTTCATTTCCCATTAACATAAACAAATGTGTAAATAGCCTATAATCATGGGTTTCGACCTTAAGATCGAACCAACTACGCGACATTGGCAAAATATTGACATGCTCCAGGATTTTAAGAGGTAACTTCTAATGAGGTAAAATAGCTGTGGACTCATGGTGCAGGGAAGGATTTTGAAGGAATACCAGTAATGCAATGCAGGACCAACTAACGCAAGCCCCAACAGAGAAAATCTGAACGTTCTTTTCAGATCTGCCGATGGTGACTTTTCAAACACAAGCTATTTGAAGATGATAAACGTTTAGTATGATAGTTCTTACAAAAGAAGCATATTATTAAGCTGGTGATGCGAGGATGCAACATTCTGAAAGTAAACAGATACTAAGTAAGATCAAAGATAAAGAAAAATATGTGTTATATCTCCAAGATGCTCAATGCCCCCAATTCTTCATGATAATACAGGTACATAAAATTGAAATTGTTCTAGCATTCTACTGCCAATGTAGAGTAATGTGGGTTTGCAAAAATAACCTAATAAGTATACTATATGATATGTCCACAGACATCTTATTGCAAGGCCGTAAGGCTCACAAGGATAAAGCTTATATGGATCTCAAAAACTCATGATTATCACCACTTTCTAGGATCTTGAAACAGAATCTTCAACAAAGTCATCATTGAAAGTCACATTGAAAGCTCACAGATTCCTAGAGAAACATAAACCAATGGTCCTATATGATGGACATAAATGAAGTTGTTGGTACATATATTAGGAGGCAAACCTGGCAAATTAAGTCTCCCAAACCATTTAGTATTCCAGATGTTACAGATTTCACCAAAACAGGGTACTTTGCAAGAAGAGCCAAATACCTGAAATAAAACTAAGTAAGTTGGTTTCGACAAATAACAAAAAATTTGGAGTGGGAAACTTGTTTCTGATTAAATCTTGTAAATAGAAGCCAAGAGATCTGAAACCAATTCCCAACTTAATACCATTTACCGACAACAAATTCACATTCGGCTGAAAATCAAACAAAATACCAATAGGAACTAAGGCCCCGTTTACTTTAAGGGAATGAAAATCAAGGAATGGGAATCAAAATTATCATTCCCTTTGATGGTGTTTATTAAATGGTAGGAATGAGATCAATTGGTGGGACTCACCTCAAACTTTGGAATTCTCCCCTAAAAAGGTATAATCTCATTCATCTCCTACGACCTCATCAATCTCATTCTCATTTCTTATGTTATGGACCATACTTTTTTAATAATTACTTTACAACTTTTACCCTTTCTCCCTCATTTATTAATGAGATCCATGACTTTTTAATCAATTGTTTTACACTTTTATTATTTCTTTGTTTATTTATACTAGTAATAATTTTTCTTCTAATAAAAATTTATACAACTTTTATTAGTTGCTGTGATTTTATTATAAAATATTATTTAATTTACTTGTTATTGTTAATTAATATCAATAAAATTGTTAGAACATAATTTATTATTATTAAATATTAGAACAATAAAATTTAATAATATTTTATATTAATGATGGTTGTTCTGATAAAAAAATTACTTTAGTTAGATGTAATTTTTATTTTAATTATTTATTTTTTGTTAATATTAAATAAATTGTTATATTACAAAATATTTACTATCATAGTAATAAATATATTAAAATTTAAATTAACAAAAAAATATTAGCCCAATATATTTGTTTTAGCTATAAATAAGAAAGGAGTATACTAGTAATTGTTATATATCTAATTCCTATTCCAATTCCGTACCGTTTTAGTAAACAACATCGAAGGATTTATGATTCTAATTCCTTTCTCATTGCTATTCCTTGTAGTAAATGCAGCCTAAACATAACACTCCTCAAAATTTGAAACAGTGAACAAGATGACAAAGAAAGTACAGCCAAATAAACTGTTATTGCTCCAACAATACACATTTTTGTCACATAAGATGGACTACATATAAACAAGCACAAGTACTGCACATTAAAAATGACAATTGACACAGACGAACTCAGTATGATGGAATTTATGTTTTCCTTCAGCCATACTTGATAGCTCACATGTCTAAAAGCAGGAAATAAATTTTAGATTGATGCGAAGATTGGTACAACTCCGTCTCAAAGGTGGTAGGAGAGGATAAATTTTTTCCATCGTTAATTGCATTAGAGGCTTCTCTTGTCAACTTAGTTAGCTACGAGCAAAGGCTAGACTTGAGTAAGATCTATAGGTATGTTATATTAATTTGTTTCGTCAATGGAAGATATAGGACCTCCACGGATTCCAATCACTGTACCCCCAAGGAAAAGTTGGGTATGTTGAGGCAGAACAATATGCACGACTGGACTACAGTTCAAACTTGACGGAGAGTTCTATTTCCCAGTACATAAAACTTACCAAATTTTCCTCAACCCTATAATAGTGGTCTCCAGATAATAAAACTTCCACTATGACTTCTAATCCCATTATAAGAATGCACAGTTTCCTCCCCTATGAAAGTAATAGTACCCCAGTTAATTTTTCTGGATAAAAAAAAATTCCCATTCAGTGGAAGAAATAACCAAGAGAGCTTAAAAAGCGATACATTAGTATCTACTGCCAGAAAGAAGCTGCGATTACAAAAAGTAGAGAGTACACCAATAGGAGCTCATAAGATGAACCAATCCCACAACTCTACCCAATCTTATGCCTATTACCAAAACTCCAAGAGTTTCTCTCTGACCATATTTTTGAAAGAGTCGTAAATACTACCGAGGACCACAAGGTTGCTGCTTTGGAGTTGAGATTAACATCACCATAATAATAGGTCGAGAGGCATGTGAAATTGAACTTAAATCGTTGAAATTTTTAGACAAAATGATATTATGAGCTAAGCTAGATGACCATTAAAGAGAAGATGTAAGGAGTGTTTTTTTTTTTTTTTGAGTGAAGACCAAACTTTCATTGAAATAATGAAAAAAAAAAAGGAAGTTAAGGAGTTATTATTAGCCTGGTAGAGGAGATAAGGCATAGGGTTGACACTGAGATGGAGTAGGCAATCTCTCCGAACGTGATCCAAGTTCAAGCTTGTCCTTTTGGCTTGATTTCAGTTATCATATCAGTAGTAGCATGTGAGGTAAACCAAAGACAATTTGATCTAATAGCCTCCTTGATGCTGAATATATCCAACAGGGTGTTGTGAGGCAACTTCATAATGGATTGAAGGCAGAGATACAGGTATGTACGTTGAAGCTAGAAGGCCTAATTGCAATAATGGAGGTCCCACTTGGTAGAGGATCCAAATCAACTGTTAAGGCAAGGGTGCAAGGGAGGCATGGTAATCAAACTATTTGCTATACTCTTGGACCCATTTCCATACAATATTTGACCAGCTAGTTATGGGGAGAAACAACATGACAAGGGTTCAGCCAAGGGTATACTTCAGGAGTGACACCTCATTTCAAGTGTTTGACAGATGTTGCATTGCAAAAGAGAAGGAAGAAAGGCCTTTATTTTCATGTGAGGAAAGATACACTGTCAGACAAATGCAAAAGCAAGGACTATTGTTCATTGCCCTATGGCTTTTGGTGCTGGACAAATGTGCTTAATGTCTTTGAAGATGGTGCTTCCCAAGTCCTATTATTGTTCTACCACTCAGCTGCTTTTAGGCCCCAAGTTTAAAGGTCATTTCCAAGTCTTATGGATTAAGACTGTAATATCCACCTTGTGGCGCTTTAGATGAAAAGAAATCAAAGAATCTTTGCAGGGTCGGAGCCCAAATCAACTGCTTTATGAAATTTCATTCATCTCCGCGCTTCCTCGTTGCATTCTCTTTTCAAAAAGTTTTAGTAATTATAATTTGTTGCATATCTTTACCAATTGGGAGGTTTTTTTGTAACTCTTTGGCTTTGTAGGGATATCTCATTCCACTTCATTTGTACATACCTCTTTACGTGCCTATTTGATCAACATATTCTCAGTTTCTTATTAAAAAAGGACTAAAAGTACTTCTAATTTAGAAGGATTCCAAAGATAAAGAGGGGAGGCGACCAAAAGAGGAGGACAAATTGAATGTAGAAGAGTAGTTGTGGAAGGTGGTAGAACTATCATTGAACTTGATCACAAAGATCACCTCGCTTCATACTATGAAGCTGAGGACTAAGGAGACACTCAGACGGGAAGCTATGTGATGCTTGAGATGCAATGGCTAGGTAAGTTGAGATATATGCAGGTTCATCGAAAGATATCAACAATGATGCTCATAGTTGAGAGTTGCAAAGAGACTCATCTCCATCACTCATCTCCATCACTCTTTCTAATAAGCATATATGGCTTTGAGATCCTCCTTGAAGTTAGACCTAATGGAGGTAGCTTTAAAAGAGCAAAGAATGTGGGCCCATAAATGTAAGTTGCAGTGGTTGAAAGAAGGGGTGAGAAGAGAACGCTCATTTCTTCCATAAATGGGCCTCTGCAAGAAAAAGTAGAGCTTCAATTTTAATGCTATAAGACAGGGATGGGAACCTTCTCTCTTCAGAGAGCTAGATAGGAAATAGGTACTGGACTTTTTCAGCGATTTATATTCCAAGTCTGAGGATCGAATGTTTACTTTTGAGGGCCTGAATTGGTCCCTCTTGCAGCAAGGGTGGAAAGACGGGGTGGAGTCTCCTTTCCGTGAGGAAGAAATACAAAAGTAGTGATGAGCTAGGGAATTTGAAATCATTAGGCCCAAACGGGATGTCAAATGAGTTCTATAAATAAAAAAAATAAAAAATAAAAAACTTGGAACATCCTGAAATCAGATCTAGTAAGGGTGTTCCAAGACTTTCTAAAAATGAACTCATTAATTTGCGCACCAATAAGACTTATGTCTGCCTTATCCCGAAGAAGTTAGACGCAAATTGAATGCATGAATTTAGGCCCATCAGTTTGGTGTTTGGTCCCTTCCCTTTATAAAATAGTTGCTAAAGTTTTGGCGAGTGGATTGAATAAAGTCCTCCCTTTTCATTATTGATGAAGCTTTAAAATGCTTTGTGGAAGGAAAACCAATCTTGGATGTGATTTTAGAGGCAGCCAAAGTCGTCGGTGATTGGAACTCTTTAAAGAAGAAAGGCTTCTTGCTAAGCTCTCTATCACCACTAGGACAATTCCAATTATAAAGTCCTTATGGAGCTCTCATGGGATCATTTGGGCGGCTTCAGACGTTGTTGGATCAGTCGAGGGCATTCTTATCCTCTAAAACCATGCCTCTTTCACAACTAAAGAAGTTATGGATGGTGCAGATGCCCTACCCCTCAATCTCTTACATGCTAATAGTTTCTCCTGGGATATCAGGTATTTATGGCCCGTCTAAAGCTTAACACGGAGCACATTAAAACCCACCCAAGTACTAGTGGACAGAGAGTTGAGCAAATTGCAAAAATATAAGGAACTTATTGGCTGTGGAATCAGTGAAGGAAAACTAGAATGGTTGACATTTAGGATCTCGATGGACGGGTGTTCTGCACCCTCTATGAATCGCGTGCCTTAGAGCTCCAGCAAGAAGTTGCAATAATTAGTCTAGAACATAAGACGCTTGCTTAGTTTCAATGGACAAACAAGAGGGCAGCTAGATTAGCATAGGATGAAGCTAAAATCACTCATGATTTTGTCCATCTTTATCATAAGAAAAAAATTATTGCCCTTCAACAAGGAGGAAGCATGTGTGACTACAAGCACCAATTCAAAATGTTAGTCGAGCCATCAATGGCTTAATCTGAGCTAAGTGTTAGAAACTTAGAAAGCACCTTCGCCAAATAATTTAAAGGCTTGAATACATGCAGAGATGAAAATGTGGCAACCAACTAATAAAAGAGAAATGGAGTACTAATCTGTAATGAGAAACATTACCATGACAAGAAGGACCAATCTTTCCCGCCTTTGCCGCCATCCCCTTCTCCCCCTCCATAATTTTCACCTCCATATCCACCATCACCGCCTCCAGAGCCAGAGCCAGAACCAGAGCCATCACCAGAGCTCGCTGAAATTCGTAAATTCGTAAATCTCAGCGACCCACATTGCATTTGAAGTCGACCCAAATCCTCAAACTCCAATCGATGATTATGGCGGAATGAACAGGCAAGAGGCCCCTTCATTTGAACTGGGGTTTCAAGACTTGGAGCTTGCAGGCCGAAATGCAAAGTGGGTCCTCGATTAGAGCTCGAGCGAGTACAAAGGGGAGGAGGTTTCAGAGAAAGAGTGACGCCACAGAGAACCATCTTTTAGACGGCTTTGGAAGTTGCGGAGCAGAGGTCAGCACAAGGTTTCGCTGTGGGAAGAAGATGCAGTAGGGAAAAATGGGACTGTGTTGGTTCTTCTTGCAGCCGAGATATAGAATCGTAGTGGACCCTGAGTGGGGTTACGATTGAGAACCTGCCGCATTGTTCACGCGGCCCACTGATGTGATGCCTGATGACAAGTGCTCTTCGGTTTTCCACTTACTCCAATTTCTTAATCAGCTGAACTATCTTCCTATTAACACTCTGAGGTTTTTCTTCCTTTTTTTTTGGTTAAATCAATCATTTATTCCTGAATTATAATTTTAAGTCTGGCTCAAATGACATCGGTTTTATTTACTTTTTTTTTAGAAACAATTTCATTGATGTATGAAATTACAAAAGGTCCTTAAGAAGAGTTACATGTATGACTTCCAATTAACTAATAGGGAAGTGTAACTATCATGATGAAAAAAAGGAGTGTTCTTATACCAAGTGACAACTTTGTAAACAATAGCATCAAAAAACCTCTCATAAGGTTGTGGTTTATCGTTGAAGGTTCTTTGGTTCCGTTCTCCCCAGATAGTGCATAGGCTCGAACAAAATTCATCCATAGGATAGTCTTTTTAGTTTTGAAAGGGTGCCCAGCGAGAGTGTATTCTATGAGAAGAGGGGGGTCAATTGGCAGGGTCGTGGACCATCCAAAGGTGCTGATGATGGATCTCCAAAAATATGCTGCAAAGGTGCAAGTGACAAAGAGGTGCTGTTGTGATTCCAAGTTAGCTTTGCAGATGGAGCACCATTGTGGGGAGATAATCAGGTAGGGGAGTTGTCTTTGAAGCTTGTCGTTGGTGTTGATGGCTCGGTGGCTAAGTTCCCAAAGGAAAAATCTCACTTTCGGCAACTATCTTTCCAGATTGCTTTGTAGAGATTGTTTGTGTCTACTGGACGGTGTTGGGTGAGGTCTCTAGTGTGTGATATGGTGGAAAAGGATCCATTTGGCTCTAGTCTCCATCTGATAGAATCTATTTGTGTAGATAAGAGAACATCTGTGAGCTGATGACAAAGGGTTGCTCATTCCGTGATTTTTGTATCCTTGAGGTTCCTTCTTAACCTCAGGTTCCAACACGATGTTTCTGCTGTCCATAAGTCCGATATGGGAGCATCCTTTTTCGAAGATAGAGCGAATAAGAGAGGGTAGGAATGTTGTAGGGGCTCATCAGACAAGCCTCCAAAAGGATATAGACTTACCATCACCAATAATAAATGTCAGCTGCTCATAGATCAGATTTTGTGTTTTTAATATGGCCTTCCATGGTCTTATTGCAGTGGGATTGGATATAGAATTTGGCTTCTGGTTCCAAGAAGCTTTGCCATATTTGGCTTCAATAACATCCTTCCAAAGAGCTAATTCCTCTTTTAAATACCTTTAAATCAATTTAGCGAGAAGGATATGATTTTTAGTTTTCATTTTAGTGATACCGAGGCCACCTTCATGAATTGGTTGTTGCGTAATGTCTCTCTTGACTAGGTGTAGCCCCTTTGTCTCTCTATTACCCTTCCAAAGAAAGCTAGATAAGATGTTGTCCAATGAGAGGGCTACCTTTGTTGGCAATGGAAAGAGTGAAAGGAAATAGTTAGGGAGGTTTGTGAGGGTGGCTTGGATGAGAGTGTATTTGCCTCCCTTGGAGAGATAGGAATTCTTCCATGATTGAAGTTGTTTTCGCACTTTCTCAATCAATGGATCCCAAAAGGATAGAGGATCCATGCTTTCCATGTAGGGGTAAGCCAAGGTATGTGTTTGGCCAGGAGCCAATTTTGCAAGCAAACTTGGTGGCTAGTGAATTAAGATCAGCTTCCCCAAGATTTATCTCCAAGATCTTCGATTTCTTGTGGTTTATGTTGAGTTCGGATGCTTCCTCAAAAAGTCTAATGATGTTAAACATATTGATAAGGGAGGAATCATCAAATGGTGAGAAGAGAATGGTATCATTAGCAAATTGTAGGTGATGGATGGCCAAGGAGTGATTTCTAATGTCAAACCCTTTTATGAGGTTGTTACTTGCAGCATGGGTCATTAGTCTACTAAAAGCATCAACAATCATGATAAATAGAAAGGGAGAGAGAGGGTCACCTTGTCTAAGACCCCTAGAAGCTAGTAATTTTCCTCGGAGACGACTATTAATGTGATGGAGTAATTTGCAGAGGAGAGACAACCCTGAATCCACCGTCTCCATATGTGTCAAAGCCTTTGATAGTAAAGACCTCATCAAGGAAATCCCAATCAACTTTGTCGAAAGATTTTTCGATATCGAGCTTGATGACCACTCCCTTTCTCTTTTTCCTATCCCATTCTTCAATGAGCTCGTTGGCTATTAGAGAAGCATCTAGGGTTTGTCTTTCGGCTACAAAAGCAGAGTGCTCTCTTGTAATAGTGTGGGGCAGCAAACCTTTAAGTCTTTCAAAGAGAACTCTAGCAATAATCTTGTAGAGGCACGAAATGAGACTGATGGGGCGTAATCTCCAACCTTCCTTGCATCAACCTTTTTTGGGATGAGAGAAATGTATGTTTCATTGAGGCTTGCATTAATAATGTCATTCTTAACAAAATTATGGAACACTCTCATGATGTTGGTTTTGATAGTATTACAAAACTTTTTATTGAATTCGACCATGTAGCCATCCAGTTGTTTGTTCCCAATTCATTCACAACTTTCCAGATTTCCTCCTCAGTGAAAGGTCTCTCTAAATCAGTACTTTGTTGTGCATTTATCGGGTTCCAATCAAGGGGGAAGGGGAGGAAACGAGTGTCTTCCTTCTTTGTGTATAACCTGCAAAAAAAGAAAGAAATTCGTTAACGATTTCATCCTCCCCCAAGAGGCTGCTGCCTTCTGAAGAAAGAACTTCTGTAATGGTGCTTTTCCTCCTCTTTGCCACCACAATTTTGTCAAAAAAGTAAGTATTTAGATCTCCCTCTTGTAACCAATCGACTTTGCATCTTTGTCTCCATAGACTCTCTTCTTTGGCCACGTTAGAAAGCAATTGTGCTTTAACAGATCTCCTCTGTGTGAGTTGTGTAGGGTGTAGTAAACCTTCTTCTTCTTCTATATTATCCAAGATAGCGAGCTTAGATTGTAGGAGGTTTTTTTGCTGGCTGATGCTACCAAAGGTGGATTTGTTCCACAATTTAATAACTGATCTCATCTCCTTTAGTTTTTGAATAAATTCATGCCCTGGTCAACCTTGTAAGGGGGTGTTTTGCCACCAATATTCAACCAGAGGTTTAAAGGTTTGGTGCTGTAACCAAACATTCCCAAACCGAAATGGGGTTGGGCCCCATTTTGCTAATCCAAAAGAGAGATGGATGGGATAATGATTTGAAGTCGGACGGTTAAGTCGCTTAACTATGGCATTTTGAAACTTTGAAAGGAAATCTCTTGTGGCAAGGAACCAGTCAATCAAGGCGAGGGTTGGGTTTTCCCTAAAATCCGACCAAGTGTAAAGGTTGTTAGTAAGTGGGAGATCCTATAGCTCTGCTCTCTCAATGAAGGAATTGAAGCAACTCATATTCCTATTCGGTCGGCGATAAGAAGATTTTTCTTGTGTCCATCGAATGGTGTTAAAATCATCCCCCAATAGCCAAAAATCCGAGCAAAGAAAGGAGAGGTCCATCAGTTCATTCCAGAAACCAGCTTTCTCTTCTGTTCTTGTTGGCCCGTAGACCCCTGTAAGCCAAAAATTGAAGCCATCAGAAAGATTAATAAAGATGGTTATTGTGTGAAGACTCATGGTGATGTTTTGAAACAAGTAAAGATGGGTCATCCACATGATAAGAATACCCCTGATGAGCATGATGCATCAATAGCTATCCATCTGATATCTCGAGAGCTCCAAAGAGACTTAATAGTGAGGCGGTCAATCTTTTCCAGCTTTGTCTCTTGGAGAATGACTATGGTAGGGTTGTGCTTGTTGATAAGGCTTTTAATCAAGGCCCATTTGTCCCATGAGCCAAGACCTCTTACATTCCAAGAGACAATAATCATCAAGAAGTGGTAGACCGGCCGGATAAATTCTTGGTTTGGTGAAAGTCATAGTTGATGGTTGATACGAGGCCAACAAGTTCTCTTTTTTATCCTTCTCTTTTTTGTTGGAGAGCATTTTCTTTGTGACTTTTTGAGGAATAGGGTAAATGCCCATACCCATAGTACAGAGCCAAGGGATGACCACCTGTAGATACTCCGAAGGGTGTATGGTGGGATCAAACAAGTGGAGGGGCTGAATTTCGAGGGGCTCAGAGGTAGTAGGGACAAGGATATCCATGAGGTGATCAAGGGTGTAGGGGAGGGGGTTCTGAAGAAAGAAGATAGGGGCTAGAGAGGCATTGGTCAGATTCAGAGAGGAGAACAAGGGGGTTGGTGGAGTGCTTTGTGTACCAGGGATAAGGAAGGTTTCCTTTTATGTGATGTTAACGTCTATTTTTGGCCCATCTAGGAGGAGAGATGGGTTTGGGAGAGGGGAAGGATGAGGAGGTTTAAGTTGTTAAATCTTCATCTTTACATCGACATTTGTTGAGCTAAAAACAACAATTTAGTCTAAAAAATTAAAAAAGTTTAGAGTTGATTTGTTTACGTCAATTAAGGATTAGCTTTCATTTAGTGATGTTCATGTATGCACTACCACTTGGTGGAATAGCATGATAGTATTTAGTTTAGATCCCGAACTTTGTTTGTATTTGTTTGGTTTGTTGTTGTTTTTATCATTTCAGGTTTTTTTTAAGAGGTCTTTATGATTTCCTTTGTAAAAAACGTAGAGATGAGAGATCGAAACTACAACATTAAGCAACATATGTTAGCATCAATATTCCTATTTGAGAATATATCTACAAAATAATAAAAGTTTAGATTCTTGTTTTTCATTCTTTATAGGATGCATTTAATATAAACATTAAATTTGACATAAAACTTTTACTCTTTTAATCAAACATTTTATAAAAAAACTACCAAAAAGAAGAAAACGAAAAATCTGGAACAGTAAATAAAAATGTAACCAAACCAGTTCTCAATTTCTCATTTTTCAACTCTAATAATCTAACAGTGCACTATTGAAGTTGATGCTAAACGATATATATATATATATATATATATTTTTTTTTTTTCTCTGCAAATGACAAAGGATTGACATTATTATGCAGAAAACCACGAGGCATGAACCAAACATCTTTGAGCATGACCTAATTAAATATTGCAAAAATGGCGATATCAATATCAAATTTATAATGTAAAATTAGGGGAAAAGTCCAAATTTGAGATCATGAGAGATTATCTCATCAATACTTTTCACAAATTCCAAAAAAGGCCCCATTCTCCATTTAGCCATAAATTAGAAAGAAAATTACCGTTGAAGTTGAAGTTCGTTCTTTCATAATTCAATAGCTATGCTAACCTTTTTTCTCCATGTACTAAAAAATATATATATATATATATATTTTGTCTCCATCAAAATAATTAGGTTCCTTATCATCTAAATCAGGAGATCTTTTGCCTACTTTTCGTATAGGTTCTCGCCATCTCTAGTTTACTTCATTACGATCTACATCACACCTCGTAAATGGATACGACTTTGAACCTCCTGAATAAAGCTTCGTTGTAACGAATTTGATCATCAACCTTCTAATTGCTGTCCACGTGAAATAATTGTTGATTTTGGACAATAATTGTTCACAACAAGCACGAACTTCTCAAAAAAAAGGATGCCAACGCTTGGCTCTGGACTAGTGGCGACAACCTCTTTTTTGTCTGTTGATGTTACAACTTGTGTTAGTAGAGATAAAACTTGAAAATGGCAACCCCTCCTTTGTGGGCTTTTAAAAGACTTTAACACGTCCACTAATTAAGATGTGTTTGAAAATGCTTTTTAAAAAGTGATTTTAACCCTGTAAATATATTTTCAAGTGTTAAAAGCACTCTCAAATATGGTCTAATTGTAGGACTACAGCTTAGTTTTTAAAAGCATATCCAGTAAGTGGAGATATCAAGAAAGATGCCTCAGATGATGTATATGAGCAAAATGTCCAATTACCATAAATAACTAATATGCAAATCAGTCATAAACTAATCTGTAAATCAGTCCATATGAGCTTATAGCAATAATTAACGCATGTCTCTGACAAATAGGTAATAAGTTCGAATCCTAAATTATTTGAACTCAAAAAAAAAAAAACCTAATCGACAAATCAAGAGAAGAGCATAACTAAATCTCAACTGTAAGGATCGACAGGCACGAGAACTCAAACAAAAGAACAATTAAATCAACAATCAACAATAAATAAAGAAAAAATAAAACATGGTTTCATTTCATGTTGAGATCTTCCAAATAAAATGAATACAATTAAATATCCTATACAGTAACAATAAAATGATATGTTGGAAGTTTGCATTGTAAAAGTAAGGTCAATGCAGATTATTATACATGCAATGCAATGAAATCTAAGTATTGCAGTCCTCTCTTGTACCCTTCGCTCAAGAAAAGAAGGATCTCTAAGTATTGTCACAACAACATAACATCCACATTTCTATACAGAATAAAACAAAGTATAAACGAAGAATAAAAGGAAGGAAATCTATAAATAGATGACATTATTTGCTTTACCATTGAACAAAAGACAATCATTTAAGGTAAGTTTGCCATGATTTTTAAAGTAGTGAAAGATGCTTTTAGTCAATTAAAAAAAATAAAAAACGATTCCCTTAAAAGTACTAATTTCAAAAATCATGATTTCCAAACTCACTCTCAAACAGATTTTCAGAAATGGAGTAATAATGGGAGGGAAGTTTGAAGGAACGACCTTAAAGATTGGTTTCTTTGTCCCTCTTGAGTGGGTGGAGACGACAAATTCAAACATCATCAGATAATCAACTTTTATTCCACCATGAACACAGTTCCTTCTTCACATCCACCCCAAACAATTCATCATCTTTACCAGACATTTGAAATTCATCCCTCAATCAAAGCCCTCTAAAATGGGCAAAACCCAGCTTCCTTCCCTTTTACATAACCAGTCTCCATTATAGGCAGCAGTAGCTCTGTCACTTTCCTTGATTTCCATGGAAGATTGCAATTGCTTGGTGTTTCTACGTCCCAACAGAACAAGATCCTGCATCTTCCTTCGAACAATGTATATTGGATTTGGCTCAACCAAGCCCCCTTTAGCATAAGCCTCTCTAAGGAAAACGATTTGAGTGTTCCCCTTGGTTGATATGTAGAATATCCCTGGGTGCTTCAGTAGAAGCTCACGGATATTGACTTCAATGGCGAAATCTCGCCTGAAATGGACAAGTCGTTCCACATCAACCAGCTTTTCCACAGTCAAGCTCAGAAGCTCATGAAGAACAGCCACAGCTCGCTTCTCATGGCGCTGCATCCCCCCACGAGAACGAACCCTAATGCCCTGCGTCCTCTCATATGGCTTTGCATATGGAAGCCTCTGCCAATTCCTCAGCCTCTCTCTAAAACCTCCCTGTATTGTAAACCCAGTTGGGAAATTGACGGGAAATGCGTATTTGACATCGAATTCGCTCAGCCATTTCTCTCTAAATTCTCTCTCCCTCCATTGTTCAACCTCAGCCACAACTTCATTCTCACGTTTATCAACTAATTCAACAATCTCCATATCAACCAATCTGAAATCATCCGCATACTTCACGAGAATCGATTCTCTAAACCCATCGGGCAACCCCAGTTCCTTGCTGACCAGCCTCAGCGCATGAACATGGAGAGCGCCATTAACGGACATCCTCAGCAACTTCTTCAACCGCTGAACGGTCTCGATTTCGAGATCCTTAACAACGCTCTCTTCTTGTTCGATCAAGGCAGTCATCTTCCCGGAGATTCTGCAGCATAAATTCCTCATCACTGGATGGGGAAATACGTCGAACACATGGCGGTACTTATGAACGAACTCCCCAATGCCGATGTTGAGTCCGGCAATGTTCCGCCACCGAGACATGATTTGCAAGGAGACGAACGGGCCACGTTTCCGATTGATCATGAGGGCGCGGAGTTTGAGGATGATTCTGAGTTTTCTGATCTCGGTTGCGAGTTTGTCGAGCTTCAGGTCCCTTGTTCTGTCTTCTAACCGAGTTTGGGCAGTCACCAATGGCTTTCTCCATCGCCTTTGACAGAAATAATTGAAGGGGCCGAATCTGATTCTGGAGAAATGAGTTGCTGAAACAGATATTGCCGATTCAAATGGTTTCATGCCTCATTGATTAGTTGCAGCGATGAAATCGAACTACGAGTAGAGGAAAGCGGAAGAGCAAGAAATTAATCGTTAACTGTGTTAGTAGAACAGTTCAAATAAGTCAATTGCAACTAATTATTCATGATTTAAATCTCTCATTTATAAACTAATAATTATTTTGTTAATTCAACTATACATTTTATATTTTAATTTCTACGCTTTTTTTTAAGTACCTATTTTGGTAATTCCTACTGCATTGTTTTGTAGTTCGTCATTTTAAATTGAAACTATGTGACTTCAATACATACTCATATTAGCACGTTAATATATGTTTTATTTTAAAGATAGTTGCTATGTTTTTTTTTTTCCTTCAAGAAAATGGCTATCGTTTTTACCTTAGGCATTGAAGAATATATATTTTAAAGATCAACTAACCAACATATAATAAGTTTGAAAATTCATGAACTAAAACGTCTTTGTCAAACGACTAAAAATACAATGTAATCAATCATCCATTTATAGTAAGCATAACCCAACTAACAAGAAGAGACAACCACGACCCAAAAATGTTTAAAATCTTCCTCAACTCAACACACAAAGGAGCCGCTTGATTAGAGATTTGTTGGGTGAAAATGAGCACTGATATGCTAAACTCAAGTTTGTTACTCGGTTTTAAATACGGTCTCTGTAAATCACATATTCTCAAGCATCAAGCTTTATTTGTTCTTTCATTTTCATCCGTTTGTCCACGGGTTTTTTATCACGCCATTATCTTTTATTTTCAATAAATCATTTATCTTTTAATGTAATTATTTAATTTATTATTATTATAATTAATTAATTAGTTAAAATGAGTTAAACTACTTAAATTAAATTTATAAGTAATTAAATGATATTAAACTTTTACTAATAATAAACTAAATTAATTATTCTATTGTGATGAATTAATTTACCGAAGTCTTAATTTTTTTAATGTAAAAATTTGAAGCAATCAAATAAATGAAAATGATTAATTTCGTTAAACACGTCTATTTTAAGATAATTATTAAGGTTAGATTGCTAAATAAAATCCACAAAATAAATTTAGATATATTATTTATAATAAACTTAAATTAAAAACGATTACTTAAAATATTTTTAATGATTTAACTTAAAAAAATTTAACTAAATGTAAATTAATTATTGAAAGTTTATTTTGGTTAATTTTAATACTTACACACTAATATGTGTATATTGAATTTTACTTAACTAACATTTATTATTAATTGTTGGATGCATTAAATTGTCGATATAACTAAAAATTAAAATTTAGAAGGTTAATATAAAATAATTTAATTTATATTATTTATTTTTGAATTAAACTTGATTAGTTATTAATCAATGTGTATAGTAACATAAAATTCATATATTTGACCACACATATATAGTCTTAATCACACACATTTTAATCCTAAATATAAATACAACCAAACACGTGTATTTTAGATTCTTAAACCTATTATTTTCAGACGACTTAATATCAAATATCTTAGACTACATTTTTAAACTTCCAACAAAATGACCCAAAAGTATGTTTCTTCCTCCTTGTAGGTTTAAACTTGTATTGGTATATTTAAACTGCAATACTAAAACAATCCTATGTTTTCTAATTTTAATTACAAAAATAGTAAAAAGTGAATATGTATTTATATATAGCATTAAATTTAAAATTTTACAAAAATGACATAATTGAACGGAGCCCAATTGCAAGCCTGTTTCTAAGGATGAAAAAAGCACATAGATTTCCTGTTAATTACCAATTTACCACTCAACCATAATTGATTAATAACTAATTATATTTTTTTTAAAAAAAAGCACATAGATTTTCCTATTAATTGCAAAATTACCGCGCAACTTTATTTTACATAGAAATGATGTGTGAAGTGGAATTTTATTGATTCGTGAAATAGAATTGTATGAAATGTTATTACAAAATCGTTTCTTACGAGTTTTATATTAAGTGTAGTTTTTAAAATATCATATTATTGTGTCTAGATAATTACTTGTATGTTATATAAATGTATTTCTATAGTATATTCATGTATAGGAGGTCTTTGAGACATTTAGTTATGTGCGCGAGATTATTCTACTGTGTATATCGAGATTACTCCATGTCTATAGACCATAGTTGTTATATTTTGTGTATGAGATTACTCAATACTCAGCATGGGTATAAATTATTATGTTGCGTGTATTGATATTACTCTACACCAATAAATCAGATTATGAGACAGGTGTGGTGTTGAATTTTTTATAATCCTGCTTAAGTTTAAAAGATGATGTTTTACAAATATGTTTACAAAGTATTTCGAATAGGTCAGAAGTTGGTGTAACTAGGTCGTAGGCCAGGGAAATGTTGGAGCAATTAGGTACATAATATGGATTCCAAATCTTAAGCCAGGCGTGTTATTTTATTTATTTATTTTAGTTTCAAAGTTTTCTTATGAAAATTTTTATTAAATTATTAGTTGTGCAGTTTTTAAAGAAGTTTCTTAGAGTTTTGAAATTTCAGTTATTTATGAAAAGTGATTTCCAACTCCGTGTTTATCATTTGTTTTCCTCCTGTACCTGAGTTTTAAAAAATGTCATTTAGAAAAATAATAAAATACGCAAATCTTATCTATTGATTACGATTTTATATAAAACACATCTAGTGATCGCGATCTAAGGAGAAATCACAATCCTTGGGTGCGACTTAAAATGAATTATGGATGCGACTTCCATGTGATGATTTGGAGCCACATGGGTAAAAGGGGAATTGATGCATGCGATTTGTTTTATTTTACTTTTAAGATTTTGTTTAAACTATGTATTCTTCCAAAAAGTTACGTAATAGTGGTAAAATTAATTTGTGTCACGTGTCTTCCTATTTTCATAGTTATTTTCTTTTTACTGTTCTTAATTTTTTTTTCAATTGGTATATTTTTCTACATATTAGATCGATATATTTTTACTTATATATTTATAAAATATATTTTTTGTTTTCATGGTCGTAGATGGTTGCATTTGGATATATATTTTTACTAATAAAATAAATAATATTTTGATTATAAAATAATAAAAAAACGATATAGATGTAAATATATTAAAAAATACTTTACGAAAATCGCGTACATTATACACCTTACATGTATGTGATATTTTTTCTATAAATTGGATAGTTTTTTCTTTATAAAATATATTTTTTGTTGTTAGATTTTTAAGGTATGTATGTGAATTTATACTTTTACTTATATATTAAAATGACTAAAATACTAATAAAATAAATAATATTTTGTTTGTAAAATATAAATATATAAATAATTTAAGAAAATCGCCTATGTTATACGTAATTTCCGTAAATGGAAATATTTCCTTAAATGAAAATTGCGTGCATTGTCCACGACTTCCAAATTGTACGTGGTTTCTCTTGCTGATTTATTCTCCAATATCCACCTCATATATGACGCATCAACACCAACATTGCTTCCATTCTACGTGATTCTTTTTATTTTGAGCACCACTTAACCTATTTTTGTCAATATTTTGGATGTCTAACTTAATTTTGTAGAAATTATATATTTATTTTGTTATTACTTTTAAATCTACGTTATTTTTATAATTTATTTTTTAAATTACGTTATTATTAAAATTACCCCAACCACCTCCATCCCCGCTGCATTTTAGCTTTTGCATATCATTTTATATTATATGTAAAATATTATATTGTTTTTAGTAATGCATTTAGAGTTTATTAGTCAAATTTTAGTTTAAAGTTCATAAGAAGTTTGACTATGTATTCCATAGTTGGTACGACTCGTTCTAGAAGTAATAAGATGTTTTGAGATGAGTCGTGTCATTAGAGGCCGTTAACACTCAATACGTCATTCTTTTTTTAAATTCACTCGTAAATGTTTAAATCAAGTATATAATAGTGAAGTAATGATAATTAGTAATATTAATTCATTAATTTATGAAAATACTACACAATAAATTATTTAAATGAAGACACTCAATTATTCAATTAGGGGTGAGCATCGATCGGTCGGGGTTGATTTTCGGTCGATCCCGACGCTGAAAACCGACCAAGTCGGTTATGGGAAACCGACTTTTATGCCAGGCATCTTGTGTCGATCGACCAATTAGTTGGTTCGGTTGGTCGATTTCGTCGGTTTTAGAACAGTCTTCGTGGAGGACATCGGTGTCGGAGCTCTGGTGGGCGATGGGCTTCTGTAAGAAGTAAAGAATAAAAAAAAAATGTAAAATCGACACCACTTGAGAAGGGAAGATATCGGTGCCGGAGCTATGGTGGCCGTTGGGCTCTGTAAGAAGTGAAGAATGGAAAAAATGTAAAATCGATAAATTTGAGAAGGGAAGAAAAAGAATGAAGTAGAAGACGAGGGAGAATAGGATGGGAGGTGAGAGATGAGATGAGAGAAAAACAAAAAGAAAGGAAAGAAGAAGAACGAGAGAGGAGTGGTTCCAAGCTAATACAAAGGAAAAAAAGTGAAAACATTTTAAAAGAATAAATATATTGAAAACCAGTTGCCATTAAATGGCCAGTGTGGTTGTTGGTTTCCAATGCTGTTGCAGTACCCGTTTGGACAGATCAGGTTTGTTATTATTTTTTTTTTAATATATACATAACATAAAAGTCGGTCGGTTCGATCGAAAATCATTTTTTCGACCAAACTGACCGATAAAAATCGGTTTTTGAATGTTAAAAATTGATTCCGACTGATTCTTCTATCAAACTGACCGATAAACGTCGACTCGATCGGTTAAATACCTTAATCACTTGAACTATGTTCGATTTGACAAATGAAGATAATAAATTATTGAAATAAACTCCGTACTAATCAACAATAAATAAACATTTCTTAAATAACAATAAATTAAAGTTATAATTTATTTACCTTCTTAGCTTCCTTTTATGTAATATAATATTTTAATTAATAAGCACTAAAGGCTGAAAAAATTTATATTATGATATTCATATTAAAAACTCTACCTCAAAATAATAAAAATTTTAAAATATAATATTAATGAAAAGTCAATTTTGATTTTTCCAAAATCAGCATAGTTCAATCGTAATTGGCGTATACATGAGGTTGTGAATTCGAATCCTCCCTATACAAAAAAACATCCGCACATAGAAATCGACTTACCCTTCTTAAATTAGAGAAATTCAAATTTCGAAACAAATCATTTATCAGTAATATTCATACAATAAGAGGTATAATGTTTAACCGTAGTTTAAAGCACTAAACTAAAATTACACACTCTTTAATTATACTTTCTTGCAGATCATCGATCGTCTCATTTCATTTTCGATATCTATAATTTACGAGATGTGCATAAACCTGCGATAAACCCTACTTCCAAATTTCACACCAATCTTAAACAGCCGAGTGGAAACCCGAAGGACGGAGTAGGCGGGAAAGGCCGCTGCTCAAATAATCGAATAAATTCCTCAAATTCAACGAGAACTGATCTCAAGTGGGCAGAAATTTTCTCTTCTGATCCATTTAGGGTTTTAAGTTTCCTGATAATGCCTTCGTTTCCCCCTCCTGGGTCTGTTACCGTCTGCGAAATCAATCGCGACCTCAGTCAGTATCAATTTGTTACTTCGCTCCTCAAGTATGAAGTTGTAGTGTTCTATTTCTGGTGAAATTGATCGTTTTTTTTTGTTTGTTGTGAATTTATTTTTCTGCAGTCACCGCCGATTTCCTCTCCGATGATCGAGCAAACGATACTTATGGGAAAGTCCTTGTAAGTAATGGCGTTGAAATTTATGGCTGATGTTTTTGTTTATGGAATTTGAAATTTGTGGCTGTGACGTTTTACAGGGTATGGTGTTTAGTCCTGTTCCATTTCAGTCGGAATTTTTGGTGTCGCCAACTCCTGAACCGAGCACCGAGCCGCGGAACGAGGAAGCAAATGGCGAGATTGCTCAGAGGAAGAGTGTGATTGCATCGTTGCAGGGATTCCTCGAGGGGTCTATCAAGCGGTTTTTTCGTCCTAATGATGTAAGTTTCATCATTGTTATTAGCTACTTGTGTGGTTCAGAGACATTTCTGAAAGCCGGTACACTAATTTCATGGATTCGAGGCATTCTCGTTGTAGAATTGTGTGTGTTCTTGTTCCTTATTTTTTCTTGTTCTTTACAAGATACAAGGGAAGAAACGTAGGTCTTAAATGTTCTCTCTTAACAAAAGATATACTGCATTTCATTTAAGAATATCATGACTGAAAACAACGTAATCTGCTTGCCCATCTAAAATTCGTCTCGGCTTCATGACAATTTGGCTAAAGCACAGGAAGATTTTAATTGGTTAAAAAAGAAATATCATTTATTACCTCTTTCTGTAAGGCGCTCCAAAATCCTAGATCACGTTCAATAAGATTCTTACCTGAGGCAGTCTAATGTGAGAAAAAATTATTAGATTAGCTAATAAATACAAAAATTTCCGCAAGGCAAAGGGAAAAAAATTGCAAAGCAATTTAATTTTTAGTTTGCTATCACATCTTAATTGTTGTACCCTACTGACCTACCTATGTATTGGCAACAAAAGAAATTTTTGAAATTCGTGATGTCTTCAAGTTTGTACTTCTGCATGTTCGTGGGGGTTCAACAAATTTGAATATGGAAAATATAAATCTTGAAATGGTATCTTTGAAATACACCTCCATTGTAATTTTAAGGAAGTCCAACCTTTTTATTTTTATTTTTTCCCTTTTGAGAGGAAACAAAATAAAAGGTTGCTATCTGTATGGCATTTTCTAGGGAAGTCAAGCCTTGAAAACTTGACATGGCATCTGTATGTGGGATTCTTGGATGTTCATGGGTAAGCATACAATATAGTTGCAGCTTGAAAGACTTTATGCTCTTGTCCAACCTAAATAGAATATCTTTGGAACGATTAGAACTCTATTTACTCTTGGAGTTTTAAAGATGCAGAATCGTTGAAGTCTAGTAAATTGACTGCAACATGCATTCCATAATCAAAGTTCATGCTTTAGAACTTGCAAAAGCAAAGCTCCTTAAGCTAACTGATCTATTTTATAGGTAAAATACTTACCAGCAGAATATCTTCAAGGAGTGAGTTGGCACCAGCATAAGCATATTATAGCATTCATATCTGGGATGAATCAAGTTGCTGTCCGTGATTATGAAAATGCAGGTTATCAAATCTGGTTTTCCATATGATTTTGTTTAATTTTTTGTAATCTTTTATTTGTATACAGAAGTAACATGGTTTTTCTATTCTTTTACTTTTTCAATATTCATTTCATCTTAAAATTTCTTTCAAATAATGCCAATATATGTTATGCTCTCGACAGATGTAAAAGACCCTTGCATTTTGACCCATGACTTGCAAAGAGATGTTAAAGTACTCGAATGGAGACCAAATGGCGGGAGGACTCTATCTGTTGCATGCAAGCAAGTATCATAGAGCTGCAATCTTATCATATAAAATAAATGCCATAAATCTTAGAACTTTAGAGGATCACACTGTTTCTTGTAAGAATGTTTACCATACATAAGCTTTTATATTTTCATTTGACTTGAAATTCTTGGACTGGATATTCTTCAGGGGTGGAATTTGCATCTGGGCTGCTTCTTTCCCAGGAAATTCGGCTTGTGTGAGACCTGGTGCTGTGTCCTTCTTAGGATCGTTCTCAAGAGGCTCTGGAGTTCGATATACTCTAGTTGATTTTCTTCAAAGTCGTGACGAACAGATTAGTGCCCTGTCATGGAGTCCTGATGGAAGATATCCAAATCAAATTAAAACTTGTTAGTCATTTACATGGTAGTGGAATTGTTGGCTGGTGGGACGGGTGGTTTTGCCTCTTCCCCCGTGGAAGATTCTATCAAATTATTTTCTTTGATGATATTTTATATATGCTATACTTTCATTATTTTTTTTCCCTATTTTCTTCTTGTTGAAATATTTCAACCTGATACAAGAGATTTCCTTGACTCCTTGGCACATATCTAGCATCTGCCTCTTATGAGAGCTCTTCTTTTACCATTTGGGATGTCGCTCAAGGTATGTCCAAGGCTAATCTTCTTAATTATCATTGATGAGTGGATGCTATTTTCCTAGAAGAATAATGCTAGTGGTTCATTTCCTACTTCTATATGGAGTTCCAGTTGTTTCTTATCCAAAAGGGGTAAAAAGCATAATGTCCGGATAACATGCCTATGGAAAACACGTTGTCAACAGTATTTGAACTGCCCACCTATTTTACTCTGTTTCTCATCTTATTTACCAAATTATATATTTATTTGTTTTTATAATTTCAAATTAAAAAAAATTCAAATCATTCTCTCCCAGACTTCGCCTCCCTTTCTCCCTCCTTCCCTCCTATATTTCTTGAATATTGATTATTGAGATTTTCCAGGGTTGGGAACGCCCATTCGGCGTGGATTGGGGTGTGTATCAACAATCAAGTGGTCACCTACTGGAGATTACTTTTTTGCTGCGAAATTGTAAGTACTATCCAACTTTCTTAGCATTTGATGCATAATAGTCAGTTAAGTCTGATTGTTTTCAGATATATAAGACCATTCATTTTACAGTGATGGGACATTTTATCTTTGGGAAACGAACACATGGACATCTGAACAGTGGTCTACAACAAGTGGTTTTGTCACGGTAGGTTGAAAAGAAGATGTTTTATTTATTTTGACTTGTCCAGGGATGTTTCAATTCTCTTTATGTGTCTGTCCCTATCTTTTGCTCGCTCTCTCTTTTGTCTAGGAAACAATGCATATTAATTAATTAGATTAATGAAACATAGAAAATACTATGTCAAAAAGGAGAATAAAAGCTCTCCAGTTGGCTTGATGATTGATGTAGAATAGTTAAGAAAAAGGAATTGAAAACCACGCACCAAGAGGAGGCCAAAAGAACAACACCTGGTTAGATAATCTTTTGTTTTTTCCCTTCTTTTCTCTTTGATGAGATACAACTTTCATTAATGAATGAAAGAATGGAGGGCGGACGATGGGATATCCAAACCCATAGGCCATAGCTACCATGGTTAAATAATTTCCCAGTTAGCTAGAATGGAATTGAGACTACAATTACAAAAGACCTTGTACGTAAAACACGAGAATAGAAATAATTGAAGTATTCATGTGAGGGATCGTTTGACACTCATTCATGAGACCTTCATTTGCCTTATTCCCAAAAGGCGAAATGCACGTAGACCGAAGGATTTTAGATACTAGTTTGTATAAGTTCATTGCTAAAGTGCTAATGCTAATTGGCGGAGGTGGTCCTCCACAATACTTTATTGGGGTTTTAGGGTGGCTTTATCAGAGGCAAACAAGTTTTAGACGAGATCCTTATTGCCAATGGCAATTGAAAATTTTAGGGCTCATAAATTGGAAGGAGTTATTTTTAAAGATAAATTTTGAGAAAGCTTGTGAACGTATATATTTGTGTCTTATGAAAAAGTTTGATGGAGGGAAGTTTTTGGGTTTTGAGTGGATATCTTGGGTTTGAAATTGCCTTAGGTTTTGGTCAATTAATTTGGATCCAAACGTCTAGTTTCCTTTTATTTATTTATAAAAGAAAGAGACACTATGTTTCATTGATCAATTACTTAGCCAACCAAGGGGTAGGATTCAAATGTCTTGGGGGTTGAGGCAAGGTACCCTTTATCTCACTCTCCATTACTCGTTCTTGTGGTATTCAAAGTTCTTATTGTGAACTGAGGGCTTTGCCAAGGGGACTCTCTCTTCTCTTGCCTTTCCTATTCGTTGTTGTATGTTAAGAATATTATTGTGGAAATAATAGTTGTATTATTAGGATATTAGAGGGGTAGATTTGCCATTGATAGGAATTTAGTCAAGCTTGTTATAAATAGAGTGCGTGGAGGGTTTGGAACTAGGTAGGATTTGGAAGAGTAGTTTGGGAGAGTCTAGGCCTCTCGAAGTGCTGAGGAGTTGTAAGTTTCTTTTCAATAACGTAATTCAATTTCAATATTGTTTTTCTGTCAAATTTGATTGCAAGATCAGTTTCCTATCATTGTACAAGACATGCTTAGCAGAATCTTGGAAAGGTGTTGCTCTAAAGGGTGGCCTGAAGGATTTAGAATTGAAAAGACACGATATACATCATTCACCTACCATTCTCGGATGATATCGTTTTCTTCAGTGTGGATAATGACCAAACTTTGATAAGAAAAATAGACAAGGATGTAAAAGAATGTTCATGATTCACTTAATCCATTGTACCCATAGTAGTTAGTACTATATTGAAGTCCATAGCTGAATAAGGATAAGGCTTGACTATGCCATATCCATCAGGAGACATCGTAGCTCACCCCTTCTTTTAACCCTTCCATCTTGTTATTAGTGTAAAATAGTCAATAATTGTCATGACATAATATATAGACATGGCATGAAATTATTCTTTTCATTGGTTCTCTCTTTTGTCAGACAAGTTCAGATTTATAGTTGTTAGCAATCTTTTCCTAACCACTATTATATTTATGACAGAATTCATTAATGATTTAATTTTTTTTTTTAACTTTATCTTCTAATCAATGTCATGATATCAGGGAGCAATATGGGATCCTGATGGACGTATGATACTACTTGCTTTCTCTGATTCTTCAGTATTGGGTTCTATTCACTTTGCATCGAAGCCTCCATCATTAGGTATACCAATTGCTTTTACAATTATTCAGTCAGCTACCGACCTTTTCTTTTTTGATAGGAAACTCAAAAATATATTAGAACAAGACCTAAAAAAGGTGGACAAAACAACCTAAAGGCAGAGGGTAAAGGAAACCTTCCCTAAAAGACGAAACAATCACCGCTTTCCAATCTTGCATGATCAAAAGAAGATTGTAATTATAAAAACCTTCTTGTTTATTGAAGCCCACCAAGAAGCTGTATGCTGCTACCGATTTTTTTTAGAGTTTGCATCAGAGTCTCCATGTTAAATGGTGGAGACTTGTGCACATTGTCTTGCATATTGTAACCACATGAACTGAGATGGTGGGAAGCTTTTCTTATGATATCTGGAGAAATAATAGGATGCCAACAATAAGAGTTTGGTGAAAATAAGCAACTTATTTTTTTTATTATTATTTTTTAATTTTTGGATAAGAAACAAAGAATCCATCCCTCTATCAAAGAGGGAGACAACCTAATGGCAGAGGGTTGAGAAAACCCTCCCCAACGAAGATCTAGACCATGGCAGCCTTCCAATTTCTAACTAACATGGGTAGGCTATAATTACAAAAAAAATTGTTGTGGTTTATAGACCAGAACGAAGCATAATGCTGTACATTACTATGAAAAACCTCCTCGAAAGAAGCAACTAACGAAAAAACTTCTGGAACTTTCATGGTAATCTGCTGATAACGATTAGATTAGTCTTAAATCATGACTATGCCATCTCGGAACTCTTTTTTGAATTTGAATTCAGGTGTATTATACCATGTACTTAGTGATATCTATTTAAACTCGGCTTCACCCAATATCTAAACAGGGACAATTTTGTTTTATTGCAGATATTGCCTGGTTAATGTGACAAATCTCTCTTTTTTTTTTTTTAGTACAACATGTGAACATGTGGGGTGAGGGATCGAACTTACACAGCCTCTTGGTTGGAGATATATGCCAATTACCAATGAGCTATGCTCGCTTTTGGCGACAAATCTCATTTTATTTTCTATAGAATTGCAAAGTTTACGCTGGCCATTAAAGTGAATCTTTCAGTTTTTACTTGTTTGTAGATCTAATGGATTCTCAATGATTTTTGTCTCCAGTTGCACATCTGTTAGCTGTTGACTTGCCAGAGATAACTACACTGACAAACAGGTATTCATATGTTTGTCTGTTAGATGCGTGTCTTTCACAATTCACATGACTTAATCATAAATTTTTGACAACTGTGCATTTTCCTTTCAGCAAGGGTATCGAAAAGATAGCATGGGATACTTCGGGAGAGCGGCTGGCTGTGTCTTTCAAGGACGGAGATGAATTATATAATGGCCTGATCGCAGTATATGATGTTAAAAGGACCCCCCTTGTCTGTCCATCATTGATGTAAGTTATCGACATCGTACTCCTCCAACGTCAATAACTAGCGAGTACGACTATTTCTTTGATTTCAAAACCGTAATGTAACAAAAACATTGTTTGACCTGCAAATTAAATTGTTTAATTTTTATCCAGCGGCTTTATTAGAGGACCTGGAGACAATCCAAAGCCAGTTGCATTCTCATTCCATGGCAAGTTTAAGCAGGGACCTTTGCTTTCAGTGGTATGTTCACATAAGAATCCCTTGGCTTTTACAAACTCAATATTTAAATGACCAAAACCTACGTATAAGAATATTGTCATAATTTCTTCACTAGAGAAGAAACCATTGCGAGGTTTAAACTTGATTTCGCTATATTTGCAGTGTTGGAGCAGTGGATTTTGCTGCACTTATCCTCTCATGTTCCGCTCTCATGTTGTTCCTTAGTTGTGGTTCTCTTCAGTCCTAGTTTTGTAGGATACTGGTGCTTTCAAGGAGAAGAGGGTTTTTGTATCCTGTTGTACAGTTTTTGATGCTGCAAATCCTACGGTACCGTCTTCAACTCTTGCCTTTGCCATTGAAAAAGAAAAAAAGAAGAAAGAAAAGTTATCTGATGGGTTTGTTTGCACTAAAGTTTTGATGCCAATGGATGTCTCTAAGGGAGGATTAAGGAAATTATGTTATCTGTATTAAATGTTTGACATATTAGTTATACGAGATCGATTGATTGCATAAAGGCTGTAGTAGCAACGGAAAATGCAAATCCCTTATGATATGCCAAATATTTTCATAACTTTATCAAGTAATATTACACCACTTCAGCGATTATGTGACTTTTATCTACTAGAGTAATACATTTTTATAATGTTAAAAATCAAAAGAAAGTTATTAAAGGATATTAATTTTATGTAGCGGACAATTGCTCACATGAAATTAATACATTTCTAGTAAACTTAGAGTGAGATGGAGTACTTTTGAGATATGTTTTTGAATGGTTATTTCTATTGGTAGTTTAGATTTAGATCTCATTTTGTTATTTTGAGCCTATTGACTGTTGGTTAAAAGAGTCACTTTCTCGACTAAAATTGAGTCACTTTTTAGATCAAACCTTTAAAAATATGTATCTATATGGATTAAAATGCTTAAAAGTAATTGTTTGTGAAAATATTTTATAACAAATTATTTGTTAAAGTCACTTTAGAAAAATGGAAAAAATTTAATCACTAATACAATTTGGAAGATTCTTTTTATATTGTTATTGGGTGACCACTGAATTGACCAAGAAAGGGTTAAATATAATAGTAAATTTCAGAGAAGGAGTATCTAAAAATTGAAGGATTTTGCTGGCACTGAAAATAGGTTTTTGATTAATATTTGTTCTTTTTTTAAGCATTTTAATGTTGTTGGACTAGTGAAGGTTCTAGCAATTTTCTGGTTTAAATACGTACTTTAGGCCTTGTTTATGCACTCAGATCAATCCGATCAGAATGATAATGTTATTTTTTTAATGTTGTTTACTATAAATTTTTAGGAATCAAGTTTTGTATAGAAAATCAAAATTAGAAATTAGATATATAATAATTAGGGTGTGTTTGGGAGTGAGGGTAGAATTAGTGATTTTGAAAAAAAAAAGATTTAAGTATAATTAATTTCCCAAAATCTCTATTTAAGTAATACCTTAAAAATCAATTTAAGGCCATTTTAAACTTTTTTTTAATCAATTTATCAAACATATTAACGGAAAGGGAAGTGATTTTGACATTGGCAAAAAAGTAATTTTGGCCATATACTAAAATCACTTTTAAACATACCTTACTTGTACACTTTTTTTTTTTATTTTAAAAATTTCTAGCTCATTATAAATATATTAACTAAAAGTCGTGCTAATACTATTTTTAGTTAAAACATTAGAAATTTTAATTTAATTTCTTTTTATTTTATTAATTGTAAATATTTTTCATTATTTAATATTACTAAATAAGAAATAATTAAAATAAAATTACATCAACTAAAAATGATTTAATTCTTATTAAAACAACCTCATCAATATAAAATATTATTAAATTCTATTGTTCTAATATTTAATATTAAATAAAAAATTGAAAGAACACATCTTAAATCATAATGTAAGGTTTGGAAAAAAAAATGGGCAAAATACAGGATAAAGTGGTTTAAAAAAAATGGTTGTGTAGCACTAAATACAATAAATAAATCTAAAAATAGATAAAGGGTAAAAATGAAAAAGTACAATCAACAGCCTATAACAATCGGTTGGTCATTTTCACAATTTACTGTATACTTTTGGAAATTTTCATTATGACAACATAAATATGGCATTGCTTCAAATTTTCCAAAAACATTATTAGTATTATAAATAATTAATAAAAAATCATAGGTATTTTAATGGAAGAGAGGGAAAGGGTAAAATATATAAATTAATTATTAAAAAAATATAGGGCATACGAAATAAGGAACGAGAAGGTGATTTATGAGATGCTAGAAAAGGAACAAGATGACCCTTCAGAGGAAATGATTCTTAAGTTCGTGCCTTTGAGATAGTCTCACGATATGACTTAAACTTCCATTCCGTTCAGGTAAATGGAGCCTTAGTTTATTTCAGTTCATTTATTTTCAAAACATTCATTTTAGTAATTGTATTTTAAAATTTTTGTTCATTTCAATAATCGTACTTTTAAAACGATTGTTTTTTGTTTATGTATTTTTTTAAAAAGTGACTAATTTGGTCTATGTTTACAAAATTTTGATATAAAAATTTTATACACAATGGAAACCTTTTAACATAAATTTATTGCTACATTTCAATAAATTCAGTGAGCGAAATGTCATGGCCAAATTATGATAAAAAAATGAGATAAAAATAAAGAAAACAAAATGATAATTTTTTTAAAAAATATAGGGACTAAGATGGACATGGTTTACCTCGCGCGCTGGAAGGGTCAAATCTCGTCATTTGGTCCCTGTCTGGCGGCACCTTTCTCGAGGTGTGCAATGAACTCGAAGTTCGCGTCGCATTCGGTTTTCAGTTGTGCATGCATTACAAAAGAAATGCATTTGTGGCATAAATTAGTATTTTATTTCGTATTATTTTATTAATTACAATTGAGTTCAGATTACACAAAATCTAATACTCGACAATCTTGATTCAACTATTACTCACCATCTTAATTGAATTCTTACAAACTAAAATGAACAAAAGTTGAAAAGTGTGGAGACTAAAATAGATGTTTTAGACGTAGGAAAACCAAAACGAAGAAGAAAGAGAGAGAGAGAGAGAGAGAGAGTGAGCGTACACTAATTTGAATTTAATATTAAAAAAAATTGCAGAAGAACCCCCCCGTTTTTTTTTTGACAATAGGAATCTTATAACATATATATGTTAGTAGATGTTATTTTTCAATTTCTTTTTTGTCTTATGCTAAACCTTATTTTAAAAGATTCCAGTAGGTCTTAAACATTATAATATTGAAGAAAAAAACGACTACCTAACAATTTTTTCGAATACGTCTGAAAAAAAAATATTATGGTATTATAGTAGATTAAAATACTACAACATAATTCTGATTTTGTGTTAGCTAAGGGAGGTGTACTTGGAAAAATTATTATAGATGACTTCTTTTTTTTAGTTCATGGATAATGATTTCAAATATCATTAAATTAGTAATAAGAGTTCTTTCATATATTGTTTTTAAATAAAAATTTACAATTATAAAAGGTCAAATATATAATTGTTGCTTATTAAATTTGAATTAAACAATATGTTTTCAATTGTACTCATGGCTAATGACAAGATGAAGAGAGAATTCAATAATTAAAAAAAAAAAGGCTTGGATGAATAATGTAGGCCTCAAATGATCAAGAAGATTGTGAGTTTTGGATTTATGTTTTAGGTTAAATTAAAAATTAAATGCATTTAAAAAAATATCGATAAAAGATGAGATGCAGCCACGTTGTTTTTTTTTTTATTTTTTATTAAAGAAAAAAAACTAGTATGTTGTTTTTAGGGTGGCTATACTCTCCCCCTCTAATCTAGAGTTCTTGGGTTGTGACTGCAGAGACGAGTAGTGCAACATTATTTTGGTTATATACCTTTAAAAAGCGGTTATTTTAGTCCCTTCATTTTTGTTTTTATTTCATTTTTTTATCATAATTTTAATATTATATTGCACTCGTTGTGTATATTTTTGTGTAAAAATTTACAAACAAAGACCAAAATGAAATGTTTCGAAAATACACCTACTAAAATGAACTAAAGTCATAATTATAGGGACAAAAACAATATTTAAACCTATAATCTAAATAAAAAAAAAAATCCAAACTATACATTTGAGACTCAAGCACTAGTTACAATCATACCCTACCTAATACGGGTAAAAGATATGCATACTCTTACACTTGTGATCTAACATTCAAATATTCGTCTCTAATTCGACGAGTGAAATTTTTTAGAGTTGGTATCAAATAAATACTACCTACCTGACATATATCCAGATCAGAAATAGGGACAGTTTCAACCCCTAAAATCATAACTTTTGTTCCTCATAATATCTTCCAAAAAAAAAATCCAAAAATATTTATTGCATAGGCTCTATTATTGACTTGTACCTTCCAACACATTGCCATGCCTCATTAATTTGTTGTCACAACAAACCCAATAGTAAATTATTCAATTAAAAACAATGCCATTAATTTTCATCACCCATTTTTGGCCAATTATAACAACAAAAAAAAAAATTTAATTCCATATTTAGACATATTCATGCCTTCCCCAGTTTGCCCTTTGTGTATCTAATTTTTTTTTTCTTTTTAGTTTATCAAATTTAGGAAGTTTCATAAAATACATAAATAAATGAATTTTGATTAATTTTAGAAATGGACCAAGATTTTAAGTGTTAATATGGATGAAAATATATATTTCTACAAAAATTACAATAGTAAAAAATTCGTAAAAAAAATTAAAACATTTCATCCTTTCTAAATTAAAAAATAATATAGTGTTACTACGTCTATTTTAGTGAGATTTAGTTGATATTTTTTGTTAATATTATAAAAATGTCGATCTCTCTAATGTGATACATAGAAATATTGATAGAAATTCTTATATATCGACAAAAATTTAATACCGTGAAATGGACACGATCCATCATCGTACAAATTACAATTTCCCCCGTCGTCTGAAACAGTTGGCGAATGCGACGTCGTTTTGGTATACCCAAAAGCGAAAGACTATCGCTCCCAGTAGCGCCTAAGCTCTCACACTCAGCTCTCTCTCTCTCTCTCTCTCTCTCTCTCTCTTCTTTCTCTCTCTAGAGGAGGGCATGATGGAAGAAGAGCGAGCAGTTCGCCGCAGTGGCAGTGGCAGTGGCAATGGCAATGGCG